TTTGCTGCAGCAGCCAATCTTTTTTTCAGTGTACGACAGTATTTATCTTGGTACGATGTTAAATAAGTAAATAAGTTACCATTTGAAAAATCAAGATACCGCCCGTCGAAGCATATTAATTAAAAAGTAAATGTTTGAAATCTTTCGCTGTAAAGTTAAACATACCGCATTGGAGTCAACCATCGACATTTATTCCGCAAACTTAATGATAAAGTACAAATCACATTAATTGAATACTCAATCAATGTTATTCTACTGTTATTCTAATGTTATTCTACCAGCTATTACACGATACTAATAGTGGCAAATGCTAGCATATTTCACCCATAGACGTGTCTACATAACGATTCGTTTTAACTCTTTACGATTCTATATCCAATATACTGAATTTATATATAAGTGATATTTAGAATATTCATCAAACTATCGAGAGAAAGTACGATTTTTATTTATTATTATTATTAAAAATTTATTACTAAAAATGTTCGCTGCATTTGACTTCGCAATAAAATAGGTATACTACGTTAACAGATATTATTTTTAAATACTAAAATATTATTATATATATGAGGAGCAATTTAATTTTTTGAGTTAGAGACGGCGTAGTGTTCATTAATGAAAGATTTATATAAGCTACTCTGGGATGTTCAAAAAGCATTTTTTTCATCGTCAGTTTGTATATATGCAGAAAACCTAGATATTCAAAGTGTATTATGTCCTTTAACTAAAGACAAACAAAATGCATTAATTGTTTAACATTTTTAGCAATTGTTTAGCAATTCTATTTAACATTTTACTGATTGACATATTGTCATTTTCTGTAAAGCGCGCAGTTTTTTCGTGGCTTTCTTTCTCGTTTCCTGAAAATTATAAATTTTGGACAAAGCGCATTTTAAAAGTGTACTCTTCATATTATGAGGATTGTACCGAAAGTAATGAGCAATTTTTTATAAATTTGAATTTTTATTATTAAAAAACCAAGTAAATTGAAACTATTCAAGGGCGACCGCTACAATCATAGATCGTGTCAATATGAGCCTCAATTGAACGTAACAAGAAAGACGTGATGAAATCATTAAGGCAGACAGATTATAAACAAAACTGCAAAATATGAAGGCAATCAACAAAGTAGTGCGTTATTATCTTTGGGCAACTAAAACGAAATTCCTATTATAAGGGAATATTCAAATTTCTAGAATGACGTGAAAATGGCTACGTTTACACCGTGCATTTAAACCCCGGCCTATACAATAGACGTCCTTGTTTATCCTGTATATTAAACAAAGACACCTATCGTATAGGTCGCGGACTAAGCGCACGGTGTAAACGTAGCCAGTGTATACAAAAGAATCGAGTTTATGTAGAAAGGTAAACAAAAGTCTGTAAATTAAAATATACCTAATTTTTCAATAACAAAAAAATCAGGGATGGGAAAAAAGTGACGCCGTTAATTTTGCCATCACTTTTTATAATAACGATTTATTAATGTAAAAAAAATAAAAGAACAAAGAAAAAGTAACTCATCATTTATAACATATTAACGCGTTACTTTTACTTGCTATTTTAACTCGTCGCAAGTAATGAGTTACTTTTTTCAATAAATAACACGTAATGGTGACAAATTGCTTTTAAAAAGTGACTTTTCCAATCTCAGCTTTCAGTTAGTTATCGTTATTGTCGCAAAAAATTGCAACGTTTTTTTATCAAGTCGATATTATAAAAGAAACGGCAAAAATAAACGGCGTTACTTACTTTTCATTTCTGCAAAAAAATTTAATTTATAAAAAAAATTATTACTCTTCTCTCTCTCTCTCTCTCTCTCTCTCTCCTTACTTTCGGTAGTTTTTGTATGACTCTCGTATTTATTGAATTATTTTACAATTATTAAATTACAAACAGTTAAAAAATTCGTAATCATAACTTTGTAGTAAAAAAGAGCGGTGTAAACTTTGCTCCATGCGGTATTTCTATAATTCTCTGTGTTGGTGTTAAATTAACACCAATGTAATGTGAATTTAATATATCATGGATCTTAAATTCACACACCCATGATGTTAAATCTATACCATGATGGTATTGATATAAATACTACGGGTTTTAAATTCACACCATGTTGGAATTAATTTAATTGACATCATAACATTTAATGTTGTTATTAATTGAACACCGACCATGGTAAAAAGTATATAGACATCGCATGAATGTTAAATCCACACCGACATTTTTTAGAATGTATAGTTTCTGCTCTTTTTTTCTTCCTCTCTCATAACGCGCGTGCGCGTGCGCAATTCACATGTATCAAGAATCTCAAACCCTCGACGCGATTTAGCAAAAGTTGGCATAGTACAATGCAGCGGATATAAAATGCACCGGCGACAGTCGGTCGTTTGACAAGACGAAACGTTATTCTTCGAGAAACGTCGTCGTCGAGGATAGTCTTCATTATATACCTCGCTTCCGTAAATCGTCTTAAGATGAAGACTCCGAATCGTGCGTGTCGTAAAAAACGACGACTATCGCATGGAAACGAAAAATCATGAAAATCTCGGCACATCGGGGAAGACGGCTGCCTTTGTTGTGCGAACCCGATGAATTTCTCGTTTGTGCAATTCAGCCAAGTAATCTAATGAGCAAACACCGCGAACTTGGCGCGCGGACCGGAAATTGAAGTATACATTATGAAACGTACCATTGGTGCGATGTTTTCTATGCAAGCCGCGTGCCGCCATCGCTGTCGTCCGCGTCGCCGGCATCGTCGTCGTCGCGATCGTGAAACCAGGTCGCGCATGTCGCGCGCGCGGCCTTACCCCCGAATTCGCAGGCTTCGCACTCAAGGAATTGCAATTTTCTGATTCGCGGCCGTTCCACGGCCTGTAACGATGAATATTTAGCGATTGGTACGTGACTCCGTTGAATATCCAGGTTGAGCCGAAGGATCGTTTTCAAAAGGAATCCTTCTCAGACGAACATAACTCGCGAAACAGAGAAAATATAATTTATTGAGTTTGCGAGATGTATATCCTTTAGATGTCTTTCTCCGCATTATCCGCAATGCCATTTCTCTCATAATAATTTTTCGCATAAATCGCGCGCACCCTTTATACAGAGGTAATAGCAGCGACGTTGGATTAAAAACACTCACAGGTTTATCATATGGTGCGCGATATAAATGAAATATGGAGTTACACTCTGGTATACATACCGCGATAAATGTGATAATTCTAATTTAAATTACTCGTTTCTGCGTAATATCCGCAGTGTATCCTGAGTGTAGTTATTGTTATTATTTTTGTCCGTTTATAAGTATTCCGCGTGGCGCATTGTATTCACACGTAACTTCTTCGCAGTTACAAATTCTTCAAAATTATCGAGTCTTACATCGTTGGAGAATAATTCCTCATTACTAATCGTACATATAAAATGTGAGAGTCTTCGCGATAAACTTTGATCGTCAAAGTTGAATGTAACTTTTAGCTTAAAGTATAACACCACTCCATGCTGAGAGCTTTAGGATGACAAACCATCGCAAATTGACAATCCAGAAGAGTTTCGTTTATTTATGAGTATACTCTGATAAGTATGACTGTAAAATTCATGTTTGACTCTCTCTCTCTCTCTCTCTCTCTCTCTCTCTCTCTCTCTCTCTCTGATCTCTTTTGCTTAACTTAGCCGGTCAAACTTCATCAGCGGATAGAATTTACGCGCATAATTAATCTTTTATACAACGGGGATTAATTAACTCGTGCAAATTTATTCGCAGCCAAAGGTTCTGTACATCCATCGGTCCCTATTATCATGGATACTGGAGAATGGATGATGCGCAGTCTGGAAAGCGCCATCATCGCTTGAAATTATATCGAAATTATGTGTACCATCAAGTGTACGACAAAATTACATTGTGGTAAAAATTCTGTAGTTAAACAATTTCGAAAATCAAAGGATATAAAATAAAAGTTTTCTATAAATAAACCAATTATATTTTATTCATTTATTCTTTTCGAAGAATATATTTATTTTTCATATGTATTTTGAACTGCATGTTTTTGTAATATGCGCAATATAAGATTAAATTAAATAATTTTCAACCACAAAGGAGTTTTCTGAATCAATTTCAAGTTTTAGCATAGATTATTATTATTCACTACAATAGTTGTTTTGCGTGCTATAGTTCGATCACGGCAATAATATAAAGTCAAAGCGAATGTTAAGTGCCTATACTGATTTTATAATTATATTACTCGAATAAAGAGACGAAAATTGAAAATTATATGGACATTTATTTCTCATAATGGGGATTGGTCGAAACTGTTGGAAGAACCATTGCGTTTATTAAACGAGAAAATTGTACTCGTAATTAAAAATCTGAATTAATAGCACCTCAGATTATCCATTTCATATTATTATATGTATTGTATAACAATTTTCGTATTTATCGTCTAAATATAAGTACTCATAATATAAAGTGTCCGTTATACAATGATTGTCTCTCTCTACGTTTTCTATATGTATAGATAGTAATTATACGATAAAAATCTTAATTTAGATGATTCTATTGAAACTCAGGTGGATATTCATTCTATTAGAAATTCTTTCATATATTTCTACGGAATTGTAAAAGAGTATTCGAGTTATTAGGGAAAATGAATTATAATGGAATTATTTCGTTATGTTCAAAGAATGCTCGAAATGTTATTTCATACCTTTTAATTTATAATTTTTTCATTTCTGTGTTTGCGCAGGAGTGGACGGACTATAATCTCCAGTGGAACGAGACCGAATACGGCGGAGTGAAGGACCTTCGAATTACGCCGAACAAGCTTTGGAAACCGGATATCCTCATGTACAACAGGTAATCTGGCCTCGTTACATCTGCGTAGAAACTCTCATTTTGTATTGACAAGCCAGTAGCTTCGATTAACAAATTTGTTAGGAGCATTTCAGTCTCGGGCGCGAGAGGAGGGTTGGCCAGTCCCTCCCATAATAGAATTCTTAATTGAAGTGGTCGGACAAAAAGCCGCGTACTAAATACGCTCATAATCATCGTGTTAATAAAGTGTGTCCAGTAAAAAAACACGTCCACAGACCGATTTCCCAAAATTCCGCGCTCTAAAACTCGGAAAGTATTTTACTGTTTGAGACGATCTAATTGCGTGAAGATATTTAAACCAAGATAATTTTAAATTGATAATAATAGCGTAAAAAGAGAGAGCAGAGTAATTTTTTTTATGTTATAATAATCGAAGAATAACGGCAACCAAAATTGTTGAGACGCGAAAATAAAAATACGATAAATTTACGATATGTTAAATTGTTATTCATCTACACAATATTAAGTAATTCGCCGTGATTTAGCTACAATTGCTACGTATCGATGAGGCTAACCCACGGGATTTCTGTTGGCTCGGTCGCGATTCTAGACTGTCAATATTTTAAGAATTACCGTTTATGCGTCGGAAAGCCAGCAACCAGGCAAACAGTTTTACAATTTTACGACTCGTAGAATCCACATGACAATCGCAATCGTGAACAAACTGGTGCGACTTTATTATCGTAAAAATAAAACTGCACGAATTACATTTGCCCCGTAAGCAGCCCACGTTGAATTTCTCCGATGGATTTAAACGGCTGCCCCTTGTCCAGAAGGCACACCCACTCCTAAGAGAGAGAATTAAGATTTTTAAGAATGTCTTTTTCAGAAAAGCTGCGACGGCTAAGAAATAGCGCGGCACTAGCGCCACTGCAGCAAAAGTTTTTTCATTAACTTTAAGTTCGCTTCCTTGGAGACACTCCGTACGGAGCGTAAATTATTTTCGATGTACCTCGTACTCTTTTCACGTGCCGTTACGGTATTGCGAATGTAGTATTAAAAAAAGAAAAAAATTGAAGGGTACGTAACTTTTATCCTAGTGTTGCTTCGCATCTCTCTTATTCGAAAGTATTATATATTATATATTATACATATATATTTCTTTTATATATTAAAATTCCCTGAAGTGCATGCATTTACTTGAATCCTAGTAAGAGCCGAGTATATATTATACATTTATATACTCTTGTACTATGTATATCTTTACATTTTTCATTTGTAAATATTGTATCCACGTAATTATTGATCCCGATCGTAGAAATTTTTCTTATATGACGGATCGACTCGCTTCTCGCTTCGTATCGGTATATCTCTATACAATTTATATTTTATCGCAAATAATAATAAATATACGAAGTTGTGAAGCGAGTCGAACCAAACTTTCGAACGCAGTTATTACGCAGATTTTAATTGAAAGGCTAGAGTATATAACGAGTTGCATAAGTACCAGTCATTTTCATTTATCGAAAAATTCTTAAGTCAACCACGTCGTACGTTTCGCGAGGAAAAGCAGAGATTTGCAAGGGAAATTGTTTGGACAATCACTATTTTATGATTGAAATGGCTCGAAGAGCGAACGCAACGTTGAAAAAAATATCAAATCGAGAATCACGTCCCCGACTTAAAATAATCTCTTCTTTTTTTAGAACGAACCGTGGCCGGCTTATAGTCTCAGCCATTCTCTCTATCATAGCCTCTAGAATAATTAGTCTTAGGTATTTATAGGCTACTAGTTATATATAATACATACAATTTCCAGGCTGCTGTACGTGAACGCATTTATGCGATTCACGTTCGGCGAACCGCAAAATTAATACTTCCGTCGCCCGCTGCCAGCCGATTCGCGTGATAACAAAGCGGACAATGTTGATCGCGTGATCGGCCCGCTTCATCATACCCGTTCTCATGCCTCGCACTAATGCAATGCGGCTGATGCATAAGTCATACGTTTTCGATCGCCTGACGCGGAGTAATCAGATGGAACGGAATGCGATTTGTTGCAAATATCAGGAGAGAAGATTGATAATCGGGTGAAAAACTGGTTTTCTGTAAATTTCGGTAAATTTCGGTTTTTTTTTATATCGACAGTAACACAACCACTGTGCACTAACTAATCCTGTCGTGATTGAAAACGGAATAGCGAATAAATTCGGGCGGTTTAATTATAAAAGCGGCGGATGAAATAACAGCGTTTCGATTTGGAGGTTGAACCAGATTCTCCCTTCCCTCCTTCACGTACGTTGCACGCTCCGATTATTTTCGATCGGTTCGTGGATATTCGTCGTTCGACCAGGCGTAAATTAGATATTCGTCACCAACTGTCGACGACTATCGACCTGGACCGAATTAACAATCAAATATGATTAGGATCGTGATCCATATCCGGAATGAAATTTCGAGCCAAGTGGTATAGCTCGTAATGAAGCACTTTTTTTCTTGCAAAATTTTAGATTAAGTGTAACCGAGAACTGCGTTTAATCTGGTGTATTAATCCTTTCCAAACTTATACATTATGATCACAAACGAAACGCTTGTGTCATATTGTTAATCACTCTAAATAATGATCAGAAATAAAAAGCGTGAAGAGACACAGTTTCTTTTAAAAAGTGCAAACAGATAATAAAACTGTATTGTTAAAGAGATAAAAAAATTTATAAGAAGTTATTAAAATTGTTTAAACAGAGGAAGAATAATTTTTAATAACTGCGCATTTTAAATAAAAACTATTAACAAAATTAAATATATATGTGAATATGGTTCACAGAATTAAAAATTAATTAAATAAATAATAAAAAGAGTCAATTAGCCAGGCAACGATGCAAATTAAAATAATATACAAATATTGTCTATACGTTTCGGTTTACATTAAACCATCTTTTCAATGGACATAAATTTAAAAACTGACTTACAATAAAAGCATATGTATATATAACTTACTAGTCAATCGTTATAATAGATCGCTCAATAAATTTTTATATATTTTGTTTGATTCATAAGAAATTTATGACGGTAATTACTTTTGGTGTAAAATTAAAAATAGTCATAACAATTCGAATATAAATAAAATTAATTTCAACCAGGCTAATTTAGTAATAAATTGGTAGTAAAATAGATGTGAAGCAGTGAATCAAACGATCTATGACATTTAACCTTAAATAGGAAAAGGAGAAGACAAAGCTATGCCGTAAGGACACGGCAGAGAAAGACAATATGTAGACTGATTTGAAAGTGCACTGGGAAAAGTGAAAGACAGTAAGTGGAAAGAGGAGGAAATGGTCAGCCAGACAGGCCGAATCCACCTCCGACCGCAACTAACAACTAGCCAAGTTAGCTAGCCTGAGGTCGGAGTGAGAGAAATTTCTCGCTGGGAACTGCCGGCGCTCTGGTAAAGTGTGCGGGATCACTTCAATTAATTAAAGTCTCGTCTCGGGGAAACTTTGCCTTTGTAGGTATCATGGGAGCGTACAATGACTCGGGACTACCGGACGACTTTCTCGTAACCGACGCGCAAACCGGAAATTAATTTTTCAAAAACACACATGCTCGATAAGATCTTTTCTTTTTTGAAAAGGAATAATGATTTAGACACACAAATACGAATTTTTAATTTCTAATACGTAGCGGATATGAATAGACGGCTCCAAAGTATAAGTGATGGCTTGTTAACCGAAAGTGACGTTAGAGATCGATAGGAACACTGATGACTGGACAAGTTAAGCTTGGACTTCGATGGGTCTCTCCAGTGATCATTTTCAATTTGCTGCTTGTCCCTCCGCGAATACCGGGATCAATTTGTAATGAGCGCTTATTGTTTCATCGACGGTACGCCATAACGTACTATACTGTCCCGATGCGATCGCATTTATTCGTAATCATTCGTGTCGTGTTTCGTACGTGTATAAATGTGCGTTCACAGGGGCCTTCATAAGAGGAGAGATATTTAATCTTAGAATACTACCGCGCGCGCGCGCGCGACATTGAGTGATACAGTTATTGTTGCTATATTGATAGGTAAATTTTACGTGTTAGGAAATAGGCTATTTTTAATATTAACGTAACACCAGATTTTCATACATTCCACACTTTTAATGATAAAATATTTATAAGACTTTTATCTGGATTGGGAAAGTTTACCTGTTTTACAAGTTATCTTGTAAAAGCAACTCTATAATTACAGTTATAGTTTTTTCTCTTAAAAAATATCTAGTTACTGTCACAAATTACCGTCACAATTTTATAAGTATTTAAAATGTAGTTAGTCGTTACTTTTCAGTCATTTTTCTATTAATTTATTGTAATTTTTTGCGTTGCTATTTTAAATACAAGAATTTTATACATTTCTAACATTACTGATTTATTTTAATTGTTATACTAAACATTGACATATCAAAAGACTTCTAGCTTAATTCTTAATACAGATATTTGTAGATGTGACGATTTTATCAGAGATAAAGATATATTCTAATCACACACACACATCAGAAATAATTACTGAGCATTTCATTTTGATCAATCCATATTAAAGAAAAAGTTTAAAATATATAAAGTAGTCATAAAACTAATTATTAAATTAGTTACCCAAAAAATATAACTAATAACAAATTTAATTGGACACTCAATGCGCACAATTGATGCACACAAGCTATACACAAATTGATAAAGATATATATTTAATATAAATATAGACGTCGGTTAAACGTAAAATCCTCAACACACTTTATTGTGTACTATTATATAAAATATGTATTTTATAATTCAAAATATTTAATTTCACTTTTGCACTCCGATATATTCTTAACCGTTTTAATGTGCACCAGTGCGCACTAATGCGTCCAACCGAATTTGCTATAAATTAAGTTACTGTTGTAGATAGAAAGAAAAGAACGAAGTTAAGTTACAGTTACTGAAAAAAGTAACTCTAACTGTAACTTTGTTACAAATAATGAGTTACTTCCCAACTCTGACCTTTATAAACACAAATA